CAATACGGTAAAATTATCTGTGTCGTTAAAAGGAGGGAAGAAAGAAAAAGTATAAAATATAGAATAGCTGTCCCATTAAGTGAATTAATTTTCATCATGTTATGAATAGACAGTTTTCTTCCAACTCATTTTTATAGTTATGTCTTTACAAAAATTATGAATATTTAACGTCGAATTAACTAATTTTGAAACGAAAATGTGATTTCTACCATTCTAAGAGAGGATTCAAGATAGTTGGTGAATTAGATATTTCAAACCATAATAAAAGGAAGTAAAAGAAGTAATGCAAATTTTAAGTCATGATTTTAGGAAAGTGATAGCATTTTTCATCATTTGGAGCAAACGGATAACTACTATAAACAGTTAGTCTCGCGACTTACAATATATGGCTTAAAAAGTAGATTTGGCAATTAATTTCAATGAAGACACGAACACTAGAGTACTTTATATAAAGATAAAATGGGTGTCAGCCAGAGTTCAAGTTGCATAACTATTTTTTACGTAAAGTGTTTACTTCATTTCATCATTTAAAATTAATTCCACAAAAAGTGAGAGTCGTCAGAATAAAATCCAGGACACCAATCGATCAAAATAATAGACGTCCGTTTTGCTTGAACTAAATATCATAGTCATGTGACGACAATAAATGGCATAAGTAGTGCATAAAAGTGATCTATATAAACTAGTGGCTGAGATTAATCAAAAACTGAATGTAAAACTATACATTGAATTGTAGATTTAAGTGAACACCATATGTGATAAAATGAAAGGTGATTATAGGCCATTACCAGCTAAATAAAAGGTTTCTTCTCACGAATTTGGCATTAGTAACTCAATCGATAAACAGTTACTAAACCAAGTGAGAAATGTTCCTCAAATACTCACTAAAACATGTTCTATTTATGTGTATTTATTACGGCTGGCCGATTTCGACTAGTAAAAGTGACGAGTATTTTCTATGAAGTGATCTAGTCCAATCATTATAAAATGGACTGTAGATGAAAACAATAGACATTCATTACTTAACACTAGCTCGGTATTTCACTTACATTTCTGATTTATTGCGTTGTTCTTAAACTGCTGAGTGATAATAAATGACTGAATGACTAAGATGCTTGGATCAACATTTTGCTTATGGAATTGAAGCCGCTTATTGAAAATGAAAATATGCCGTCCGACAGGAATACTAGTCAATCGAACAAGTGTTAAAAAAATTATCAGGACCACATAAAATTTCCCATTATGGTAGTAAACTATAAGGCATTGAATATATAGTTAATGGAGCATGATCATAAAAGTCACAATACACTCTTTAGAACACGTCTGCTCAGAAAAAAGTATGAATTATTGAAGAGCGACAGTTGGAACCCGGTTAACATTCCACAGTAATTCTGTCCGTTCTCACTTTATAATATGTTCCTTCCTATATATGAGGTAAAATTTAATCGGTCGACAATAGTGATCATCAAGATGAAAAGTAATCTAATCAACGAAAAGCAGACAAACCAAGATACTTTAATGTAAATAAGCAAACCTGGACAAAATTTTTTGATATTAAGAAAGTGGTCTTACCTTGGAAAACATCATGTTAACTACTTACCTAGTTATTTCACAACCCCATCAGTTATATGCCTGTGATATAGCTAGCTGGGGGTAGCATTCGAACAGCTGTTTCAACTGCACACCCCAGTTGACCGGAAGTGCTCCATCCGGCCCGAAAATCATTAACTTTGAAATGAACCTAAACAAATGAATCCGTATTTGGCTACTTATTACCACCGTCACACAAACGAGGTTCACCTAAGTATGATAGATGAAAATGGAAGGGGAGATTTATTTAACAGCACAGTCGACCGTTCGTTCAAAATGAATTCAGATCGCGGGTCACTAAAATGGCGAACCCTACGTCAAAATTTAGTGCGGCCTGCAGAACTAGGTCAAATAAGAACTGTCCGAACTAAATGCATTTGACGAACAGAGTATCAAAAGCAACAATTAACGCAAACCACTCAATCCCTAATCCGACGTTTTCAGCAAAGTTAGTTCAGTCCGAATATGAACATATAAAAGCCGTTCTACCATATCATTATTCTGTTCATGTATCGACTCGGTTCATTTGTCTGTTTTGCAAATTAGCTCGTTAACGTTATCATTATTACCGTGGGACAACTATTATCCGTATTCTATCGAAGTGAAATTATGACAGTTAAGAAATGATTCTCATCGCTCGTCAAATCACAATGTTACGAATATTGTGTCCATGTCACGACATCGCAACTCATTGGATTATTTTCTCGTATTACATACCGCAAACGATTTTCCTGCTTCAAGTATTTCATTATTCTATTCTGAATTATTTATCACAACTCTATGAGAATAGTTATTCAGTATCATTCAACCAAATGGAGATATAACTAACGCATAAGAAAATAATTCTGACGTACTGATCAGCTGATCGTATCTCGAACATACGTTTAAAGTCATAAATTCATTATTAGCAACTGATGTTCTCCATATGCAACTAATGTTCATTCCTCGCATTTGTACACAGCAACCATTTTTTAACCATAATCTCAACTGAACTTTCTCAATATTATCTGCAACTACTTGCTTGGTCTATAAGCCTTGCTATAATGCTTATACATTCACCTAATCGCATCTTATGTTTTCACGCTTATATAACTGTATGCTAGATTCAGTGCTCTCGAACGTCGTACGACTACTGTAGTTAATTCCCATTCCGAGGGAACAGTAGATAAGAATATGGAGTTCAAAAGTGGTCTCTCAAAATGCACTCATGTTCGTCGTACCCAAGCCAGTTTTATTTGTCTGATATACAGTCGTATGTATTAGTAGTTTCTTCATTGTCTTAGTACGGTTCCTCAACATAAGAGTCTAAGCGCATCCCATACCAACGACTTAACCCTCGCTAAGCTTCACGACCAAAAAGGAATATGGCTCCAGGCACCTCGTCTCCGCAATCATTATTTTGTTCTTCTTCTACTAATACATATTCAAAGGCAACACGATACGTCTGATCATAATACCATTAACTGAGTACATTGAGTTCGCATTTTATGATCATCGTCAATTGCAGCACTACAATGGACGTCATCCACAATGCAGCTATCACCTTACGGCTCAACTGTCTTTATCCAAAGTACGAACACTATGTTAATATAAATGAGAAATCGTTAATCGCTAACCTACGCCCAATCCTAATGCTGCTCATCGGAACACGTCCACTCTAAACTATTCTTTATATGCATATTTTGTCTGTACCGCAGATCAATTTTCGTTGTTACAGCCTATTTATTTCCGAGATTTATCCGGTTGTTAAAGCCATAAACGATTAGTTACACGTTACTAACGCGCTGCTCTGAATCACTCATACGTGTTTTTGTCGCCAAGACAGTCACGCCGCATGTGTTAATTTTTCAATAAGCTTTTAATTTGTGTATAATCACACGCTACCATTTTCACTGCATACCTCTATTGTATTATTTAAGACTGATGCCTATTTCAAATTTATGTACAATTTTCTACAGGGGCGCTCTGTAGTGTAGTGTGTTGAGCCCACAAGGATTTTGGATAAACTAGTTAACCTTTTCTGTCCGTATCACTATTCATTTGATTGTTTTCATTCGTGTGTGCGCTTACTTCGCTTATTACACGTCTAGCTGATTACCTGAGTCACGAACCACTGCACGAACTTGGTTCACTCTCCTTCTCCACTTAGTATTCTCATGTCTCTTTGAGTGAACGACTGCATGAAATAAACCCATCTAATTGGTGAATTAGGACGAGTGAATTTAACAAAATTTACTCTTGTGACCCTCAATTTATACCATTTATTCACTTGTCAACCACCGAGTAATCTTGTTTTACTTAAGTAATTGTACATACATGATCCTTTTGGGTCCTTAATATAAATATACATAATCCCGTTAGGAAAGTTCTCTCCATTACGCGTCAATTCTCGGATGGAACAAATTGTCCAACTTCTAGAAGTCTTATTATTCTAGATCATTAATACCCAAAACATTGTATCAGATAGAATGCCACAAAACTGTATGTAACTGATATACAGTACGAAATCAGGCTTAAGTCTGACACTAAATGATTGCAGAATGAATGATCTACAAATAATTTCCTGCTTATTTCGTATCCACACTCAGTATATGATCGTGACACAGAGTCAGTTGTCTTGTCTTTAATTCCTAAACCTTCACAGGCTTGCGCGGTAATAGTCGCGTGAAGAGCCACTCCTCAATCACATTATCTCACTACATGCAACAGTCGAATAGCGATTCTACTAAATCCAAAATTCGCTCATCACACGTCTTCCGTAGAGGCAATGCTGACCACTTCAAAACGTTGCCGACATCATGAAGATTAAACAGACTCAGCGATTTGATTTTTAATATCATAACTTACAATTATATGACCAGATGCGAAGTGAGACAACATAGGCTCCCGCTCATGAAAACTCTATGTTTCTGCCTGAACTTTATTTGAATACAATGTCTTGAGAAGTGTTTAGAGAAGAACACTGTCAACGTTCGTATAAGATTACGAACTCCCCTACACTAGTGAGTAATTGATAGCACTTTAAGCGCAAGTATGCCTAGACTAAGTAAAATGTTGGCAGTTCAATAACCCGTTATGTGAGCAGCCCGATTCTATCACCAGCTTTCAATCAACAGGTCATAGAACCAAACCTATTTCTGTTTGGTCGACTGAGCAGTTTCTTTAACCCTCAGTGTAATCCACACGGCACATGAATTAAATTACAGGTTGAAATATTAATCTAAACAATTTGACGTTTTAATCACTGTGATTGCACTACTAAATAACCATCTGCAGAAAATTCTGTCGTCAGCATAGTGAGTACCTAAAAAGTACTAATTACCATGATGAGAGCGTTATAAACCTAGTTCTTTTAGTTACCTCACTTCCGAAAAATGAAGCAACAATAAAAAAAGATCAAAATGAAAATTCGTCTCTTGAGAGTAATTATATAGTCTTACCGCTGTCTAGTCAACTTCTCCAGAGCGAATGAGCGAAAAACTATTCAATTACAATATGAATAATCTGTCATTGTGGTACAGAAAGAAAATGACAATGTGATTTTTGGAATGTTTCGAACCCTTACAACTACTGCTAAAACTCGGCCGCTGCACAAGAGACGTGATTTTGTCGATTCTCTGTAACTTAACAAAACGTGCACTGGTATATGCTTGAGAAACTACACGACTATCAATGACTAACCATTATTTAAAACATAACTAAACATTGAAGATTCTCAACCGAATGATCAGGATATCAAACAAGGAAAACAAAGTTTTATTAAAATCCAGCACATTTGAGGAAAAAGATAAGTACTAGCTTGAATAACATGCACTAATCTCGTGAGCTTCATAAGAAAAGTATTAAAATTTTAAATTGAACAAACGCTTCATCGAAAAAATAACTAGTCAAATATCTCAGAGTTGTGAAGCGATAGAATAACTAAAAAAGTTGCTTTCAAAACATTGTGATGATAAAAGATTCTCATCACATATTGAAAATAAATTGTGTTAGAAATGTGTTGTTGAGTGAGTCAACCACACCTATTAAAGATAATTCATCAAAGCTTATGATACTTTCCATTAGTAATAGAAACTTATCAAAAATAAATTAAGAGTCAACTGCTATCTTCACATCGCTGTTCTTCCAAATTGTTCAAAATATCACTTTCCGGAGATATTAGGCATATTCATTACTTTCGTAAGATGGAAATTTAAACAGATAAACTGATAAGAACCCATTTGGTGTTTAGTTTCAAGTTTCACTAAGTGCTGTGAATCGGTTTTTTAAGTCGATTTCTAATCCAGGCGTCTCACGCACATCCCTGAAAAAGAAAAAAAGTTCATCATTGAGTGTATCCATAATGGTGCGTTGTCTACTAAAGAATGTAATAATCAGGTTTTCTGTACTATAAATTCGCGCAGGATAAGAATCTAAACATCTACGAGTGATTAATTGACGTAGATTTATAAATAGAGTTCCAGCATCAATATGCCAATGGAATTAATGCTGTTTGACTTGGACTTAGTAAGCAACTGTACGATGACAAGTCAACAGGGAACAACGCAGAAGCGAGAAGACTGGTCATTGAAGGATAACTTCTGCCTCGAGAAACAACACTGATGAGAGTTGTGATTGAGTAGTCTTTTGCATTCTAAAAGCTAATGCAGCAAAGGGTGACAAGTTATTGATACTTCTCACTACAAAAACTGACCGAACTATTTTAATATGTAAATATGTGATTACGCTTAAGTAAGATATTTAACTCGATTTTTTAAATGTAGTTCTATATCCAATGAAGACTGGTTGCATTTCTACAGTTGGGGGAAGATCAAGATTCCTATTGCGAAAATATCCGTCCGTATGATGTAAATGAGTTTATTATGATGACAGATACATAAAAATTAGGTTACAAGCATAACTTACTTGTAAGTCTTCACATTTACGTTTCGAGACCATCCATTTGTGTTTTCTGACGATGTGCGGAAGCTAGCATCCGAGGAATTTGGAGGTAGTTGACCAAAAGTATTGCTACTGGGATTTCCACCGATAATATTTCCTCTGGCCCAACCACCACCTGAAAAGGCAGCTTCATTAAGTTCTGGATTTTCAGCAAATCTTCTAAACCCTGAATCTACGTCTGAACGAGAGGGCGGGTCATCACGAGGCCTGAAGACATCTCCAGTAGAACCTGGACCAACACTTCTAAGCCCTGAACTCCCTGCTTGTCGCAAACTTGGTGGTATGTAAGTGGACGGTGCAGTACTAACGGCTATTGGTAATGCACTAGGCGTTGGATTAGCACGACGTACACCTGCCTGTTGCCACGGGGAATTGCCGCCGTTACTATCATTGCTTGGTTGGGTTTCCTTCTTCTGAGGTTCAGTGACAGATGCATCCAAGGTAGGAAAATCCATTGAACTGGCTACGTCAGGTTTTGGAGCTACAGAACCCAAAGCACTGCCTCCCTGTCTCAGAGGAGCAGGGATGTAGACGTTAGGTTTAGGTGGTGGTTGTACAACTGGTTCCACGGGTTCGGCTACAAATACGAATATTTAGAAACGAACAGAAGGTGGATTAAAAGAATGCACGAACAAAAAATAGCAGAATAATTGTAAATTTGACGAGTAAACGACACTTAAAGAACTAGTGAAACCTGTTTACACAGGTGGCTACAAAGGAGGATATTCTGCATACAGGATTGACTAAATAATAACACCTGAAGGAAAAAAAAGGATGAAGAATGACTTGCTACTTGAAAAAATGATCGAGCTCGCTAAAAGGATGTGAATTACATGCTAATTTTGATTCAAGTAAAAAGACTAAATATACTAGTTAATACAAGACTAAATGTAACTATTCACTTGAAACTAGTCTGCGAAATGATTCAAAAACATGACAGACAGAAATAAACAGTTTTCATGTAAAAATATCGTTTTAATATGGGTTTGATAGTAAAAATTAGTATATACGACAAGCTAATGAACAAGAACGTGTTTTGCATTAGGCTGAACACAACATATTTCAGTCGACAATAGAGGAGTAAAATGGTAACTAACATATGACAGCCGCGTCGTAAAACTATGAAAACGTGAGAATGATATTAAGTCTGGTATACATGTGTGCCTAGATTACTATACACTAAATGTGTGTATAGAAAATTAACAAGGACAGATATGAAGAAATAACATTATGCGCAGCACAGCTGAATGTGGAAAAAATAGTTCACAATGAGATGTTACTTTACAGTTCAAATTATTAAAGCAAAACTACCAAAATTACTGTCTCTAAATCTAGTTCTACGATTATCAACCGTGACTCATATGGATAAAAAACTTTTCTTGATCTACATCGAACTATCAGTTCTACATGTGTACTCTAGCAAAGTACCCATCATAATAGAAACTAGTATGTCATACCAATTTGAAACAGGTATACAATTGTGGTTATCAACCTGAAAGTGTTCCCCAAAATCCGGTCAGCAAGATTAAGTTCAGTTAGTCAGTCAAAAACAACACAGAACTTCGTACGTACGTACATCAGTTCAAGTTGCCAAACCACATTAGCATAAAAAGATTGAATTATTAATTCAAATCCCACAGCAGTAGAGGTAGTAGAAGTATTGGCGGTAATGGAAAAGATTAGGGTTCGATGATATCATTCAAGAAGTATAATCTAGTGAAATAAACTTAAGAGAAAGACAGAGGTGATGAAGAATGCAGAGGATTAAGATTTGAGAGAATACAAAGAATGGATGCACCCGCGCCAATGTAAACGGTTCTGAGCCATGTCACTCAAGATCTCTAACCATTGATTATCATCTTGCACACATCAACCAGGTAGTATACACTCATCAACATGAATCAGTTCAGTTGTCAGTGACTTCAGAGATTTGTGGCATGTTTTGGCTTGGGCGCCCCTAGCTTTTTCAGCCTACTACTACACCACAAAACATCGATCGTCCAGGCAATCGGTGGTTGGGCATTCCTAATACATGCCCCGATCACCTCAGCTGATGATGATTCACTACTTCATCAATCGACCTGCCATCCTCACGTAGTACCACTTTACTAATCCAACCATTGCTTACTCAGTGGTCCCACAATTAATGAGTAATCTTTTGAAGACACTCATGATTGAATATTAGTAAGATGCGAATATCATTTATTCATAGCCGTGTAGAAGAACGGAGCACGTAGTTGTGCAGTTAGCAGACGGACACCATGCCTACGCCATAAGTGACGCTAGTTGGAAAAAACCGATCGAGCCTTCTGTGTCCGTCCTGAGATTTCGTCGCAACCAGGCCATTAGCACTGATGAGACTCCAAAAATAAGTAAAGCGGTCAGCATGCTCAAATGTTTCACTCCCTATCGCTAGTTCAGGTGCCGATACAAGCCAATCCTAAAGCATCCCAACCATGCGTGCATTGTTGCTTAGGGTAGTCAGAAGACTGCATTTGGTCAGTGTCTTCACCGAATAGGACTATGTCATCAGCAGGAAGCGTGTCTCCTGGTAAAAGGTCTACTCCTAAAAAGTCAGATGATGACAGTGTTAGCCTTAAAGCATATCAACGACAAAGTTAAACAAGAATGGGGAGAGTGGACAGCCCTGATGGACACCACTTGAAGTAACCAATTCGGATGACAGTTCGACATAAGCTCTCACTCGACCAGAGGTGTTCGAGTAGAGAGCTTGTATACGGTTAATGTACTTTTTTGGCCTCTTACATCTGATTAGGAGCTGTATTTTGTGTGCATCTCAGTCAACCTGATGAATCATCATATATTTTCGCACTTTCTTGAATTAATACGTGCAGACTGGTCAAAAAGCTGGACTAAACCCAACGACATCTAATTCCGACTACTACTTAGACCGTCATTATGATGATGCTAATTTAAAGCTTTTCGTTTTTGTTTTTTTCACTATTCTCAAGAATATAAATAGAAAAGAATCTTCGTCAATGTCGATAAACGACTCACTAACCAGATCAGTAATTGAGATTCAGCTTATTAAATGTGATTACAGGAATTCAAATCAAAATGTCTAGTGCAGCACCGTAGAAGCTGTTCTTCGGAAACCGTAAAGCTGGATGCCATTTATTTATTCACACAAGCCAAATACAACACTGTAGTTTTAAATAAACACCAGACGTAATCCTATTTCAAAATATCGTTTTTAATATAGATACTATGACTGACAAGCGTCATAATTAACGGTACATTGAAATCGATCGTGTTTATTCGTACCATACGACAGTAAGTTACACAGACGTAATGGATTAGGAATTTGAGGCGATCTTAGCAGAGCAAAATATTTCGGATAAGCTCACCAGCAGACTTCAAAACCTATTCCATGACAGTTTACCCCTAGAAGCGTTCAATCAGACTAGTGATTGGGATCAAAGCTTAGTTTCACCTCAACAACAACCCTATGGTAGGTATATAAGGAAAAAAAACATCTTGTCGTGTTGAGTTAGAGTAAATGTAATAACTATCTCATGAAGCATAGAAACCAGTTACGACTTACGAACTTCGACAGGTTTGGCACCCCAAGCTTTCTTTTCCACCGTAGATTCACTATCGCCACGAGAATCCTTATTTTTAGATAAATTCTTAGAAGACTCATCAGTATTGGAGGAAGATAGATTGTACACCCGAATGTTTTGAAGGTCTATTTCTTTTTCGTCGTCTATAATTTCCCACTCGTCATCTTTCTAATTCAGAAACCATACAATAATCAAAGTGTCAACTCACCTCAGAAGCAATGGGTTTACTTTCCTGAGGAGCATTAGATTCAGGGTAAGATTTGAATACTTCTCCACCTTTTGTTAGCAAATCCATTAATTCCGTCGGGTTCTGTTTCTTCTTAGACTTCTTTTTACTTTGTTTAGCGAAGAAATCGCTTAGTGACATCTTCGTGTACACAAAAACGCGCTAAAATGTGTGGGGATTGCCGCCAAAATTGGTATAGCCTAGAAGAACAACCAGACATAATAAGTGATAATTTTATAGATATGTTTCCGCGACAGTTGTTTGGACGAATAATAGCTGCTTTACATCAGTTCATTGTTTTCTGGTTGAAAATTTAGTGTAACAACAACAACTGATGACACGAAACACAAGATAATGTAACTACTGCCACCTACATAATGCTTTCAGTTTATATTCCAACTACACTGACTGAATGTCTTAATCTACAAACAAAGTTTCTGATAGAAAGTATTTGATTTGCTTAAAACCACAGTGCTTAATCAGTTGCGGTAAATAAATCCGCAAAAATCTTTGTTAGTCTTGAAGGCTGAAGCTGTCCGTTTTGGTTTGTGTGAGCACCCTTTATCTGAAGGATCTCGTCCAAGCATCAACACCACGTCTGGATCGATAACGCCATCCTACACACCCTATCGCAACAAATAGCCACTTTCTATTACACAATTCTTGACAGACCAACTATGTCCCGCATATATCGTTGAACACCTTAATTGCTGAATTCTAGTTCCGTTGGTCAAGTTGTAATGTTTATGTAGGTAATGTGCATTTAAATCCATAAGGTTGTAGTGGAACGTTTCTACGAAGAAAATACGATTTGTGAAAAATAAACGTTATTGTACTCGTTTTGTTTAACTGTACCAAAAGCACTTCTTGCGCACAACGTTCCCTTCGCGTTGCTGCCATTTTTCTGAACACGCTTCCTCCTTCCATAAAATACTCAAAAATGGATTTATTTTGATTGAACTGACGGGATAGTATGGAACATTTAGTGGTGATCATAGTCAATCTGGTATCCCTCACCACTAAAATGTCATGCAGAACCGTTTCTTGACCAACCACTGGATTTTGATTTTGAATAGGTAAGAGAACGGACATCCTTACAAACCTTTATGCCTGATAGCGATAATGTAACGTAAACCGAAGACCAACCTATTCCTACCTCTTCCTTTCCAGTTCTAACATATTGCTATTCATTCTCTTCATTTCTATTTCGAATTCCCTGGTTTACCTCATTTCTATTTGCTCTAAAGTATCCAAGTTCGGGAATTCCTAGGGGTGATGATTGGTGTTAACAGTTGTTCTTGATTCCAGATGTTCTGATATTGTAGCAATGCTTCATTTGTTTCGTAAATCCCTGTCTTTAGATCTGCAAATGGTCTGCCCTGTTATTTAATTGGGCTGCCCAGATATTTGAAAATTTCAACCTTGTACAAAGCTTCTCCATCAACAGAGGTTTGAGTAGTGCAGTTTTTGTGGTACCGGAGAAAATTGCTTCCACCCTTCTATATATTGAAACGTACTGCCAAAAAGATTTTCTGCTCGATAAAAGTCATTTTTGTTCTCGAAATTCTACATTCCATCAGATTTTCGATAAAAATCAAACAATATGGTGTAAGGACCTCAGCAATTCAAGCATCGCCGTGCCACAAACCTGAACTGTCGAAACTATTACTGACTTAGTTACGTAACCTGTTACTCCGAATTGGCGGGAGCCTCAGAACTACAATCTACTCTGTCCTAGGCCTTCCTTTACAGTTCTATCTCACTGCCGTTCATTCATTTCATGTCTGCTTGCAGTTCTCAGAATAACCCGTTCTTTGGCTGCTGATGGTGTCTGGCCAACAGATCTGAAGTATTTTTCTTAGAAAACAAATAATAAACGCTTGTATCTTATGGATGATGGCTTTCGTAGTTCTCCAAGTTTCCAGTTCATACGATATAAATATTTTGACATTCGTATTGAAAACTCTGAATTTGGTGTTGGTTGATATTTGTATGGAGTTCCAGATATTTTTCAATTGTAGAAATGCAGATTCTCTCAGTTGCTTTTGGTTTCATCTAATGTACCAACCATGTTACGTCAACGATAAGTCATAACAATGCTGACATTGTTATCTGAAAAATTTACACTACTTATAGACGTATGCGAACTCGTAAGCCTTGAAAGTAACCTATTTTGTCCATAAACATAAACCTGGACTGAAAATCCTACTACGAAACTGAAGACCAATTATTATCTCCCCTGATATCTCACGAGTACTGGGAAAAGTGATAAAGTCATGGTCTGGCCGCCCTCATCTTTCTTCCGAACTGTTCCTACATCACAAAACATAGCCCGACGAGGCCGTTCGTGGTTAAGCATACGTAACATGTCCCAACCATCTCGATCAATGAAGTTTCACTACTTCATCTTTTGAATTGCCATTCTTACCTAGCATTTTTGTCCTAACAACAGCATTGCCTACTCGATTGTTCTAGGATAAACAAGCAATGCTTCTGAGATACCTGTGGTCAAAAACCATCAACCTATGAATATCTTCTAATCTGACTGGCCATGCTTCGCAGCCATAAAGTAGGACGACGAAATGCTGGGCAGTACACTCGTCCTTTGGTCGGCAAACGGATACCTTGCCTACGCCATTACTGACGCAGTTTGGCAAGAGCCAATCGAGCCTTCTCTATCCGTGCTGGGATTTTGTCGGTCACCAGGCCGTTGGCACTGATAAGATTCCCAAGATAATTGAAGCGGTCTACGCGCTCACCTACTTCAATCCCTATCACTAGATCAGCAGCCGATACAAACCAATCTTGAAGCAACACTTTCCATTTCGATGGGGAGAATCGCATCTCGAATATACATGCATTGTCGCTCCGGGTAGTCAGAAGACTCTGCACTTAGTCAGCGTCGCCACTGAATAGAATTATGTCAACGGCAGATTCGAAGTCAACTAGTGAATCACAGGGTAAATCTACTTCTGAAAATTCAGACGAAGATAATGTTATTTCTAGAAGCAGGTCTTTAACAACATTAAACAAGAATGGATAGAGTTGAAGCCCTGACAGGCACCACTTGAAGTAATCACTTCCCAAGACAGCTCGCCATAAGCTTTCACTAGAACTGTAGTGTTCAACTGGAGAGCTTGTATAAGGTGAATGAACTTTTTGGCACAACTTTCAATGACAGACACTGCCACAGAACCTCACGATCGACAGAGTCGAATGCCTCTTTAAGGTCGAGAAATACTACTATTGTTGGACGTCTGAACGTGTGTCTTTGTTCTAGGACCTGACGTAGTGTGGATATCTGATCTATACATCCAAGTCCAGGTCAAAAAACCAGCCTGGTTTTCCTAATTCTGCTTTTTTCGAGCTTCGGTTAGGCGTCGGAGTATTATTGAGGCCAATGTTTTAAACACCACATTAGTTAGACTGATTCCTCTGAGACTGTTGTAAGAGGAACTTTGTCTTTTCTTACAGACTATAACATTCAGTGATTGAGTCCTGTCAGATGGGATTACGCCCTGTTCCCAGATTCTACCTAAGACCTCAGTCAATCTGAATGTTAAAACTGGCCCACCATCTACAAAAATCTCAGGGGTAAGCCTTTGAGGCCCTGCTGCTATACCTCGCTTTAGATTTCCCCTCCATGGGTGGCTGATGGCGATGTGATCTAGTTAGGTCGACTTTGGGGGTAACCAGGGTGGGAGATGTTTAGAGAGGTTTGTGTAAATTTTATCTTTTATGTCGTCTCATCTGACAGTGGGGTATGGGCAGATACGATGAAGAAGCAACGGCGAGTTTCCCTACCTTTCCTAGTCCGACCCGTCCCGTTTGGTCGTACAGTGCATAAGCAAATGTCTACCGGGATGCAGTCTAAGATAGCTAGTTCTGCCCTAGGACTCAATGCTATACCTACGCCAGCGAGGCCACAGAAAGCAACATCAGAGCTGCCAGTAACACGAAGCGAAAACCGTGTTGTTTCTCCATCTACACTAAGTGAAATCAAACTGATCATTTTATTCGGATATTGTATACGCCTTTCGGAGACGCAACACACATCAATTGTACGGGATTCCGGAGTTCTAGCTAATGAAGCCTGCTGCCATTGTTGGCACAATGTTTGAACATCAAAAGCTCCAATAATTAGTTTGAGGCTGGGTTTCAGGACACTAGGAATAATTTTTTGTGAGCTCAAACCGTTTGTGTCAGCGGCGCGAGGTGACAAATTGTTGGTCGTGGAGATAAGATAGTTAATAGGTGTAGAAAGGATTTGATTCTGACGGATTTTGTCTAGCGTGTTTTTACAAGTGTGAGGGTGGTTGTCACTTCCTGGTTGCCCACAATGTGGGACAGTACTTATTGAGGAACCTTAAAAGGAATTCGGATTAGCGTTGGTCTTAGAGACCTGGAAGCGTCACCACAGAGCCCAGAGAATAACTGCTTGCGGCTGGTCATGCACGGCTTTTTATAGAAAGATTGCATAGTATTAATTCAGCTCTTCAAATGGCTTTACCACGAAGACGAAAATCCGTGAGGTAAAATGAGGTGTGACAGTTTTAGCGTTAACATTTTCTAACCTTTTCCTAATTTGCGAAAAGTCAGCATCGCGGCAGATGCTGAATATCCACGGGAAACACCACTTCTGTCACAACCCTCTCTAGTAGTCAGCAGTACAACTTCACCCTAAGACCTTGAGTTGTTGCTTTTAGTCTCACCGTTCTTCAAAAGACCTGCCGGGAGAGGTAGAACCTACAGGAACATATGTTCAAGTCAATATAGCTCAGTTCGGTCATCAGGATAGGCAAGCTTGACCACCTCTTCAAGGTAGCAGCTATTTACAATATAAAAGTCATTCATTTAATAGATGTAGTTTACAAACTGTTTAGGTGTGTAGTTTTTATATTACCTACATGAATTTTGTCATTTATTTACCTCTGAGATGAATATGAATAATATTTCACTTGTGCATGGTTGATCGATGCATACCTTGTAAATCTGATCAACAATTATTGACAAATATCAAACTCTGAAATATGCATTTAATACACCGTTATGATCAGCTAAATACATATTGGCATCAAAATCAAAAGGAATTATCTATTTTGTTAGTTAATTTAATTATGTCATTATATTTTAGCATCTGACTTAAAAGCGTTTAATCATCCAAAATGTAATTCATTTTTAGTGTTTAACACTCACATAATAGCCTCAAA